TGGGTAATGCTAAGTTTATGGCATAGGGATAACATGGGTAATGCTAAGTCTATGGACAATGTTAAGTCTATGGGTAATGCTAAGTCTATGGCATAGTGATAACATGGGTAATGCTAAGCCTATGGCAATGATAAGTCTATGGCAAAGGGATAACATGGATAATGCTAAATCTATGGGAGTAATGTTGTTTCAATAAGATAATGCTTTTTCTATGGAGATAAACTAAATGATTCTGCCATAATAAATAGAACTAATTGTTGTCACAAACATTTAAAATTCCTAAAATAATAATAGTGAGAGTATTCCAACAATAGTATTGAAAAATTTAAAATCTTTGATGAATTTCCCGAATTGTGGTCAACGTATAGCATCGCTGTGTGATCCTTGTTTATAAACATTATTATTTAAATGCTATTTATTAGTTATAACTTTTTAAAATCTAACAATTCAATTCAAAATTAATTAATAATTTACGCGAGTAATTAGTACAGTGCAGTTAAAAATCAATCATTTAACAATCTTAACTATTCATTAGTTAAATTTAAGAGAGAACATTTTGAAGAGCATTAAAATGATAATTAATATTCAAAAACACAATTATTAGGCGAATATGAATGACAAACAATTTATATAACTTAAATCAAAAAACAATTACCTGTATAAACAAACATTATGTGTCGTGCATTATTGTTCACAATAATCATAGTAAAACAAATTTTACAAGAAAATATAAGTCTTCCAATTAATAGTACTATGTGCATTTGTAAATGTACTCATGTAAATATAAATATAAACTTTATAATTTAAACTTGACAAAGTTCATTTGAAATTGATAATTTGATAAATTGTATTATTTTAAAAAAGTCCTAAAAGTATTGGCCGGCGACGAGGGGCTGAAAAAAGCTGGTAAAAAAGTACTGGAAAGCGGACCAAATGACCACGTATTTGTGTTTTTTGATGACCATGGTACTCTTGACATAATATGCTTTCCTCATAAGGCTTTAAAGGCAATGGATTTGCTAAATACTTTAAAGCAAATGCACCATGATAAGAAATACGCTAAACTTGTATTTTATATTAAAGCGTGCTTTTCAGGTATATAAATAAATATTTTATTATCATTGTAAAAAATAAAAATAAATATTTACAATATTTGTATGACCAGGTTCAATGTTTTACAAAATATTACCCACCGATATTAAAATATACGCCACCACAGCAGCCAAACCTGATGAGGGTAGCGATTGGTGTTATTATGATGAAGACATTAATAATCACGTTGGTAGATTTAACTAAAAATTTAAATTATTCAATACTATAAACATGATAATTATTTAAAAGGCGATACATATAGTGTTAATTGGATGGAGAATACAGAGTCGGCCACAAATGAGACCTCATTTCAAGACCAGTTTGATTACATTAAGACACATACGCCCAACTCGGTTGCACAACAATATGGTGATTTATCAATTGCAAAACTACCTATATCACTATTTTTAGGCAAGTTTGTATTTTGTAATTTATAGCTTTTAAATTTATTCAATATGTGTTAATTTTAATTAATAAAAATGCAAATAACAATATAATTCTAGGTTCACAAAAAATACCAAAACCGTTGTCACTAATGAATACCAATATTGACAATAACTTTGGCAGTAAATATATTACCAATAAAAGTAAAATGTTTCCGCACGAGTATTGAACCTGGCAAAACTGCATGAAAAACGGAGACTCTACACATCAGGACAAAGTGTGATATTAATTTTTAATGCTTTAAAATCAATACTCATAAGTGGTGAGTAAAAAATTATTACTTAAATAAATTAATTAAATGCTAAATAAAAAATTTCATACGTGTAATCAATCATAACCAACCATATGTAAAGTAAAAAAATATCACATTTACTAAAATTAAACGGCAAATAAAATACGGCAATCAAAATGAAGTCTACCATGGTGGTGTTGGCCGTCGTACTAATCCTGTACGCTGCGGCGATGATTGATCACGTGGATGGGGGTGGGGGTGGCAAGAAAGTTAAACGTCCTAAGCAAGTAACGTACAAGGATTATGACGAGGTGGCGGCATCGGGTGCGTCGGCCACATACCCTGTCCAGTGCTCCACACTCAGGAAGAATGGCTTTGTCATGATTAAGGCCCGTCCCTGCAAGATCATGGAGATGAGCACTTCCAAGACTGGCAAACATGGTCACGCTAAGGTATGCCATCGTGGTCATTGTGGCCACTCTACTCACCCCTCACTCCATTTCAGGTTCATTTGGTAGGACTCGATATTTTCACTAATAAAAAGTATGAAGACTTGTGTCCATACACTCATAACATTGATGTGCCGAATGTGAACCGAAGTGACTTCCAGGTAATGTAGACACAACACTACTGTACTATTGGATTGCTTATAATGTTATGATTGTATTGATTGTGCAGTTGATTCATATCAGTGACGATGGTTTTGTCACTTTGAAGAACGACAAGGGAGAGACTCGCGACGACCTCCGCATCCCTGAGGGAGAAATGGGCCAAAAAATAAAAGACGAGTTCGGAAGAGACAACACCGTTATTGTATGCCAACCACTTGTATGCCATTCATTGTCTCATCTATTGTATTGTCTTTTAGGTGACAGTGATGTCTGCTGTGGGCGAGAAAGCGATCATTGCGTGTAAGAACGCCAACGCATAGTCTTTTGCACCACAAATTCATTTAGTGTTTTACTGATTATTTTCCCATCAAATAATCACCGAAAATATATCTATACATAGAAAACACCAAACAATTGTTTTTTATTGTTATTATAACTATAACTAAATTGAGGCTATTTTAGCTTTTTGCTCTAATAATAAACATTCACTTTATACGTGTCACCTCTGTGTAAGATTTATGAAATATAAAGTGAGTGCTTATTATTAAAGCAATATGCTTGACAATACCTAACAAATGCATACATAAAATGTTCGGGTGGCTACCGTAGTTCAGTATATGGCCATTAGCCGATAAAAATGTCGCTAATCTACTTCTATAGCCCTAAACTACTATCACATCGGCTTTAAAGACAATTATCTCTCGGACAGATATGGCATAACGCTTGTAAGTATTTCTGCAACGACAAGCGAAAATGTCAACGCAAAACATGTAAAAATGACAAGGATTTTATTGAAGAAGGCGTTACGTGTCATATTGGTCTAAATGCCAAGGACAATAAAGGTCCCAAGTATTGCTTCGATTGAGAGATGATAAATACCAAGCTAATAATTGTTACTACAGTGCCATATTCTAAAAAGATGGACGACTTTTACTGTAAATTAAATAAAAACTACAATACATAGGGCATTGAAAATATATTTAAATTATAGTTTATTTATTAAACATTAAATTGATATATAATTTGTTAGGTAGAAATGTGTCTTTAGTACAAGTATTCCCTTCGGGAGTGGAGAGTACTATTTTTATTTTTCCAGAACTTTATGCTGTAGTTCTATGGAAGAAATAGAAAAATTTGTCTACTTTATGATTATCGCCGCTGTGTTAATTAAATATAAATTTAAAGCTCAGAATTATTTCACAACGGTATAATCAATTAGGATATTTAGTTCTAACAAATATTTTGCATCATTTTCTAAAAATATTCATCAAATTTATTTTCTGGATCAGCTCCAAGAAGTTTACCAAAAATCAGGTAATTGTTCGGTAAATTCGACTAAAAATTGACAAATTGAAAGCCAATACTAGAATCAAATATATTTATAAGTGTGATATCCTAATTAAGAGATATAATAATATACAGACTAACTTTAATGGCATAATAAATTATTTAATTGACATAAATCTATCACATCTCAAGAGCAGTGGAAAAAAGTTTAGGAAAGAGGGCACGAATCTTTAAAAAATTACATTTAAACAACATTAATTACCTAACAAATTATATATCAATTTAATGTTTAATAAATAAACTATAATTTAAATATATTTTCAATATTCTATGTATTGTAGTTTTTATTTAATTTACAGTAAAAGTCGTCCATCTTTTAGAATATTGTACTGTACAATCATGCAAACGCATCAGCTGTTTAGAATTTTTATTTATAAAAAATAATAAGCTAATTATGTTTTTATATTTATTCAATAATTGTATTTTTGCTGTAAATTGAAAGTAAATATTCTATATTTATGTATTAATATTACAACTAATGTAGAATGTATTTAATAAATATGATTTAATTTAAATTGCAATTCATTCATAATTTTATTTTACTATTGGCAAAAATGCCACTTAATTTATATTTAGTGTTCACAGTTATTTGTTAAAACGAATAAAACGAAATAAAACACACGAAATTTAAAAATAATACAATTTGTTTTTATTAATAAAACCAAATAAAAACAAATTTTGGTTGTTATGAATGTGTAAAATGTGACCAATTATCACCGCTTTTTGGCATATTTTATAAATTGTTGGATATTTAATTGTTTTTGGCTAAATAAGATTTCGAAAAGACAAAATACTTTAGATGAAATGATTAAAAGTTAAAAATATTAATATAATTGGTAATGAGAGCGCATAACGTGTTTTATGCTTTATTAACTTAATAAAATAAAACGAAATTTTTGAAAAATTATTAATGAAACACTAAATAACACGAAATTTTTCTTGTAAATAATAAAACCAAATAAAACACACGAAATTTAAGAAAATAATAAAAACAAATTTCTGTGAACACTATTTATATTTTAAAATTTTTAGTAAAAAACAACTTTAATGAACTTTATTGCATATAAATTTAATTAAAATAAATAAAATGGCTGTGTATAGATTTTTATTTTCAAACATTATAAAACTGATGTTGTTTTATAAAAACAACACATAACCTGTACGTTTGTAAAAGTCATTTGTTATCAATATCTAACATACAGTCCGGCCCCGAATTTGGCATGTCATTGGTGCTGTCAAAAAGATGTGCTAAAATTGGGTTCTGCTAAAATCGGGTTCATTAGCAGTGCTAATATGACTCGCTGGTGCCAAAATTGGGGCCATTCTGTAGGTAGAATTAAAGTACGTACACATTGTGCGTGAAATAACATTACTAATTTGTACACCGTGTCCATCAATTATTATAACATAACTCACTGAAGTGTATCCCAAGTAAGTCATACAGATCTACATTAATCAACAGCTATACTAAACTACAATTTAATACCGTGGACACAAATATTACCGCAAAGTACTTACATTATCACAAATATCAGATATTGACTCACAATATAACGTATGATTAATTATATTATTAACTTTTAATTTATTTATGTTCTATATTTACAATAGCATTGTTACGCCTGGGACTGTCTGACCAGTCAAAACTCCACGAGGTTAGCAATTAAGGTCACTTTATATCAACCCAAAACTCGGCCAACGCGGGCGACACAATACATCTGCACGACGGCCACTATAGCGGCCACTTTCAGACCAGCCGTAGCGGCTCCGGGAGCGCAGCCATCGACTGACGGGTGGCAAAGGGGTTGTACTGACCGGCGGTCGTAACTATGGGTTTCACTTGAATGGTAGCCATTGAGTGCTGACCGGTGTTCACAGTGTGGCTAATTCGCTGAGGGGTATTGTGTTGAGGGCGCCTCACATAATGTCATTGATAAGTTTAAGTGATTTTACTTTATAAACTTAATATTGGGTAATTGTTTTTTAGATGTTTAATAAATTATTATGAATAGTAATAATGTAATAGATAATTTATGAAATTCAATATTAAATAGTTTGGTGATACTGGCGATAATTATTTTGAGAGCAGGGTTAATTTGAAGCGAGGTAACTACGATATCCACAACAACACTGTCACCAGCTCTAAATTAACTGGATTTGAGGTATGCACAGTTATTTTAATTAGTGATCATAGTGTTATTTCATTAGTATATGTTATTTGTTGCAAACAGATTCATCGTATTGCCAAAGCAGGCATTGGTGGCTGTCATAATACCATCATGAATAACAAGTGCAATGGCATACCGGCCGGCGGTCACTGTACTGTTAATACCATGAAAAACTGCGACAATAAAGTACTGGGCTAACTATTATTCAGATACTTGTGTGTGAATAAATAAAATAATTAATGCTTCAAATAAAGTAACATTATATTAAAATACAGATTTATTTGTTATTTTAATCTGTAAATAACATTTTTAATTAATTGTTTATCCAATTCAGATTTAGCCAATTTATAACATATAAAAATCTATGTAAAGTGCATGCAAAATAAAGCAAAATTTTATATTGCAATTCTGTATAAAACATTTAGCAAAATTTTATGAGTCATAATTAAAATATTTATTGCTGTTGTAGTTGTTTAAACGATTGCTACAATTCTATTTTTCATATTGAAATTGCAATTTTTATTAGCAAAAAATGTTTGTAGCAATTTTTAAAAATAAAAATATTGTTTTAATAATTTTTATTTAGCTATACTAATAATTACATTAAAATCTAAATAAATGTATATTACCAATAAAAGTAAATTGATGCATACCAGTATTGAACCTGGGACAACTGTATGAAACGCTGACTCTCTACACATTAGACTAAAGTGTAATATTAATTTTTATTGCTTAAAAATCAATTACTTAAGTAATGAACAAAAATTAGTAATTAAATTAATTAATTAAATATTAAATTCATACATGTACTGTAGTAAATCATAACGTACCACATGTAAAAACTATTCAAAACAAACAAAAATTAAACCCCAACTATAATCAGTGATCAAGATGACCAAGTTGATTGTGGTGTTGTTGATCGTGGTACTAATGCTGAACGCTTTAATGGTTGATGGCGTGAATGCGGGTAACATGACTGTTATAAACTTCACCAGCCGTAGGTGACCCATATGTGACACTCGCACCTTTTTATGTGCGAGGGTATACTGTATGATGATTATTAACCAATTAGTAATAACCAAAATAATGAAACATTAAAGCTATTAACCAAAGTTAAACTATGAATTACCATAATTCATCATTACAATACATCCTATTGACTAGAATTATGTAGCCTGGATGTTAATGGTTATAAATAACCCGGCAAACTGTACTGACCATAACGATTGTATGTATCACTTTTACTGCAAATATAATAAATGCGTAAAACAATGCCAGGATAGCGCCGCCGCCCACCCCAATGGTTGTGGTCATAGCAAGTACTGTGATATAAATACAATCTGCCAACGCATACAATGTAAACAGGACACCGATTGTGAACAGGGCTATACATGTGTCAAATGGTATTGCTCCGAAAAGCAAGATGACAAGTGCTAAGCCAATAATTGTAGGCAATAATTGTAATGTTTAGCATGTTTATTTATAAAGATAATAAGCTCTAATTAAGTTATTATATTTATTTAAGAATTGTATTGTTGTTTTAAATTTAAAGTAAATATTTTATATTTATGTATTGTTATTACAACTATTATACTGTATAATGTATTTAATATATATGATTTGATTAAATTTGTAACTTGTTTTTAATTTAATTTTAATATTGGCAAAAATGTCGTTGAATTTATTTGTAAATTTAACAAGTATTTTTGTTTACAAAAAACAACTTTAATTAAGTTTATTGCATATGAATTTTATTAAAATAAATAAAATGGCTGTGCATGTATTTTTATTTTTAAACCTCTAGAAAACTGTTATTATTTTATAACAACACAATACTTGTAACGTATGTATAATTATATTATTAACTTTAAATTTATTTATGTTCTATAATAACAATAACATTGTTACGTCTGGGACTGTCTGGCCAGTCAAACACCCGCGAGGTTAGCAATTAAGGTCAACCCATATATCAATCCTGAACTCGGCCAACGCGGGCGACTCAATACATCTGCACGACAGCCACTATAGCGGCCACTTTCAGACCAGCCGTAGCGGCTCCGGGAGCGCAGCCATCGCACTGACGGGTGGCAAAGGGGCTGTACTGACCGGCGGTGATAACTATGGGTTTCACCTGAAGGGTAGTCATTGGGTGCTGACCGGAGTTCACAGTCGCTGATTCGCTGAAGGGTATTGTGTTGGAGGGCGCCTCACATAATGTCATTAATGACGTCGAGGTCAACAATATTAAGCAATAAGGCCTTGGCTCGAAAAAGGATCAAGGTTTTGGTGAAGGTGTTTATATTGGTCAGTCTGTATGTAAGTGTTTGTGTTGTTTTCTACCTTCATAAAAGTAATTTGAAAGTTCTCACCTGTTAGATTTTTAGATGTTAAATAAATTATTAAATTTATTCTAAATAATAATGTAATAGATAATTTGTTATATTAATTATTAAATAGTTTGGTGTTACTAACAAAAATTATTCAGACAAATGGGTTAATTTGAAGTGTGATAACTACGATATCCAGGACAACACTGGCACTAGCTCTAAATTAAATAGATTTAAGATATGCTCAGTTATTAAAATTATTGATCATTCTGTTATTCAATATTACACTATTGCATGTTATTTGTTGCCAACAGATTTACCGTATTGCCAAAGCAGGCATTGGTGGCTGTCATAATACCATCATGAATTATAAGTGCAATGGCATACCGGCCTGCGGTCAGATAAACTCACAAAAGTATATATAGTGCAACTTCTCTTGGATGAACACCTCTTTTGAATGAACGGTTTTGAAATATATTTTGGATTTTCTATACCTATAACAGAACCTCCCGCTGGATTAACCCTCCCTATAATAAACTCTTTTGTTGTATAGTAAACACGCAACTGGCCGTTCATTATAGAGAAGTTTCACTGTATATTGTAATTTTGTTAGTTTAATTATAATTAGGGTTAAGCAAAAAATGATATATAGTTATGACGGGGGAATGTTTTCCAATTTATAAATATAGTTATAAACATTATTATTTAAATATTATAAAAACATTTCAATTACAGTTTATTTAAATTTATTAGTCTTAAAACTTATAATTTATTAGTTTTAACTTTTTTAAATTTAACAATTTAATTCAAAATTAATTAATAATTTACACAAGTAATTAGTCAATTGAAGTTAAAAATTAATTTTTAACAATCTTATTTATTAATTAGTTAGAGATAAACATATGAGCAAACATTTTGAAGAGAATATTCTGGAATTAATTATAATGATTAATATTTAGATAATTTGATTTTGTGAGCAAAATTTGAAAAAACAAATACCCGGAAAAGGTATACAACGGGCCGACCGGTCATAACGGCACTGAAGTCTATAACGGCGTACCCAAGCATTACACCGGCGAAGACGTTAACCCAGAAGTAAGTATTGGTTTAGTAACCACTAAACTCTCTCTCTCTCTCTCTCTCTCTCTCTCTCTCTTAAAATAATTTAATTATTTTTAACCCTAATGGCCGACGTATACCAAGCGTACCATTTAATGAAAGCAAACGGCATTCCCGATGAAAACATAATTGTCATGCATTACGACGATATCGCTAACAAAGAAAAAAACATATATCCGGGACACGTATACAACGGGCCGACCGGTCATGTACATTATGGTTATTCTAGTTGTTTTAGTTATAAGCCAAAATTCTAGTTCCATTTAAAATTAATAAGTGCAAGTACAGCTTGATTAATTAGAGTGTGTAGTGTTGAATATTTTTCTATATTCTTGGTTGCTTCAAACATGACTATTTAAATAACGTTAGTTAAAATATTTGCGATATTTATTTTAATTATTTGATATTTGCATTTAGGTGAATAATTGGCAAGGTGGACAACCAGACAAGAGTGACCGCAATCAAGTGCTCAACAACCATATCGGACCCGATGTGGCCGCGGAGTGTATTGATGTTAAGGAGGGCTCGTGTTGTGGTGTGATCAAGGGCAATTATCTGGATGGCCATGGTGAGACTGGCGAGAATTATTCCGAGAGCTGGATTAATGTGAAGGGAGATTACTACGATATCCAAAACAACACTGGCACCAGCCCTAAATTAAATAAATATGAGGTATGCATAGTTAATAAAATTATTAAGCATGATGTTATTTTAATAATGTATGTTATTTGTTGCAAACAGATTCACCGTATTGCCAAAGCAGGCATTGGTGGCTGTCATAATACCATCATGAATAACAAGTGCAATGGCGCACCGGCCGGCGGTCATTTTACTGTTAATACCATGAAAAATTGCGGCAATAAAGTTCAGGGTTAAATCGTAATTATAAATTTTCGTGTAAAATTACAAAATAATTTATGTTTTAAATAAAATAAAAGACAAATTAGTATGTAATTTTTATTTTAAAATTGCAGTTTATCAATTTAATGATCGTCAATTGATGAACTAGATTAAATCTGTGAAATGTAAACAAAGTTTTAGAAATTCGAGTTTATTTTTTATATAAATATTGATTTAATAATTATTATTTAGCTAAAACACAATTTTCAAAAGCATCAACCAATAATGACATTAAAAATGTAAGTATATTATTAATAAAAGTAAAATGTTTCCACACGAGTATTGAACCTGGGAAAAGTGTGTGAAAAGCTGAGATTCTACACATTAGGACAAAGTGTAATATTAATTTTTAATGCTTTAAAATAATGATGAGTAAAAATTATTAATTAAATAAATTAATTAAATGCTAAATAAAAAATTTCATACGTGTAATCAATCATAACGAACCATATGTAAAGTAAAAAATATCACATTCACTAAAATTAAACAACAAATTAATATCGGCAACCAAAATGAAGTTTACCATAGTGTTGGTGGCCGTCGTGCTAATGCTGTACGCGGCGGCGATGATTGATCACGTGGATGGGCGTGGAGGTGGCAAGAAAGGTAAAAATGCTGATGGGGGTGGAAAGAACGGTAAAGCTAAAGTTCAAGATGAGACTCCTTTGAATAAAAAGTGCACTGATCACAACGATTGCAAAGGTCCTGACCCAGAAAAGCCTTATTGGTACTGCAAATCTAATAAATGCATAGAAAAGTGCGATGAGAACGCCAACTTAGTGGATGGCTGTAATAATGACAAAGGGTACATCTGTAGAGTAGATAATAAAAAGCGAAAATGCTTGTTCAAAGTATGCGCAAATGACGAGGAATGTCAGGCTGGTGAGAAATGTTATCGGAAGGCAAAATATTGTATAGTAGCGTGAGGTTGAGAGATGATAAACACCAAGCCAGCAATTATTACTACAATCATGCAAGCACATCAATGTTAAGCATGTTTATTTTTAAAAGAATGAGCTTATTGTGTTTTTTATATGTATTCAATAATTGTATTGTTGCTGTAAATTTAAAGTAAATATTCTATATTTATGTATTGATATTACAACTACTGTATAATGTATTTAATAAATATGATTTGATTTAATTTGCAATTTATTCATAATTTTATTTTATTGTTGGCAAAAATGCCACTTATTTTATATTTAAAAATGTTTAGTAAAAAACAACTTTAATGTACATTATTGGATATAAATTTAATTAAAATAAATAAAAATGGCTGTGTTTATATTTTTATTTTCAAACATTATAAGACTGTTGTTGTTTTATAGCAACAACAAAATACATGTGAGTTTGTTAAAGTAATTTGTATTAATGTCTAACGGAGATAAAATTAAAGTACGTACACATTGTGTGTGGAAAATAATATTACTTATTTGTACATCGGGTTTACCACAACCGTGTTCATCAATTATTAAAACATAACTCACTAGATAACCCCATGTCTATTATATTAAAATATAACCCAATTATGTCTACGCGAATCAATATCTATACTACACTTTTACAATTTACAATTCAATAGCGAGTGAACACCAGTATTACCGCAAAGTTTTTACATTCTCACAAATTTCAAATATTCACCGCACGATATAACGTATGTATAATTATTAACTTTTAATTTATTTATGTTCTCTATTAACAATAGCATTGTTACGCCTGGGACTATCTGGCGAGTCAAAAACCCACGAGGTAAGCAATTAAGGTCACATCATATCAACCCTAAACTCTGCCAACGCGGGCGACTCAATACATCTGCACGACGGCCACTATAGCGGCCACTTTCAGACCAGCCGTAGCGGCTCCGGGAGCGCAGCCATCGCACTGACGGGTGGCAAAGGGGCTGTACTGACCGGCGGTGGTAACTATGGATTTCACCTGAAGGGTAGCCATTGTGTGCTGACCGGTGTTCACAGTCGCTGATTCGCTGAAGGGTATTGTGTTGGAGGTAGGGTGACCACCAAAAATCCTCTTAAAAAAGGACGAATGGTATAAAATAGTCATTAAAAAAGGACACAAAAAGGACGCAAATTTTTTTTAACCCTATGCATTTTCCTTTGTTTTGTCACACATTTTAAATGAATATTTAAATGAAAACACTTTTAATAAACAAAATTATTTGATTTTTATAATAGTTTTCTGTTAACAATTACAGCAGTTTTAATTATATT